TTGAGTCATGGTTGGAATGGGGGGTGGGGGTGGGGAATCGTGTTAAGGTGCTTGGCTGTTTTTTGAATCTTGGTTTTCCTTGCATTATAATATAGAGTAGACACTGGAGGGGGAGAGAAAGGAATAGTCAGAAACATCACACTAGAAGACTTGTAAGTCCATCTTCTGCCTACAACTCATTGGAAAATACCTAAAATGGGGCTACAGCATACCCAGTGAATGAGGCTTCCTGTGGAGCCTTTGCAATACATAAAACCATAGGTAGAAACCTGAACCACATCCAGATCTCCAGAGATGAGAAATCTCCACTTAAAAGGACAAGCAGACCAGCCTGGAGCGGTGAGAAGAACAAAAGATACTTCTTGAAAGAAAGACCAACAGGAAAAATACAAAACAATAGAGGCAGATGGATTGTTACTACAAGAGCAAACAAATCGCTTCCCTAGGAAACATCAAGGCAAGTGGTCGGGTCCTCTCAACGCAAACCCCCTTCCAAGACTAAGACTCAACGGAAATACACGCTCTGATTGGTGACCACACACATCACCGATAGGGGGAAGTGGGGTAAAAGCAGCAATGAAGCGGCAAGCTAAGCCTTACAATGTTCAGTGGGCTACTGTGGACCCAGCTGGGGACCTGGTCGGCAAGCAGTGTGAGGAGACCCGGGGACTCCTGGGCCCAGAGTCAGTGGCGTGGCCACGGAGGACTAGAGTGGAGAGTGGAGCTACCGGCTGATGGGAAGAGAGGGCATGGGCACAAGAACACCCACACTTGCAGATGGTACCCACGTGACCTGGACTGGATGACTGGATGATCAGAGCTCAAGCAGGAGAAGAAAGAAGAGGGGAAAAAAAAAGATTGAGCTGATACAATCTGATGAACTTGACCTATACCTACAAATGCAGTGACTCAAAAGAGGCAATAAATCCTTACAGCAAGAAACATTCCCACTCCCTCCACACACAGAGTAGACAGAGATGGGCAACTTGGACACTGGATACCCAAATGGGGAGGGGGACTACAAAGGCAAGAAGTGACTGGCTTACAAGCTTTCAAGAGGGAACCTAGAGCTAGGGGGCATGGAGGAAGGCAGAATCACCAGTGACTACTATCCAGTCTGTCTAGGCAGAGCTGATGAAATGAAATACAGATGGGTAACTCATGATACTGTAGGGAATAATGGTTATCAGGACTGATTATGAGGGTTGGAAATGCAAAGGTAGACATTTTGTAGCAAGGAAGGAAGTGATTATTTCTCCAGTCTAGAAGCAGAGGTCTCTAGGACCATCAACGGAGAAGAGCCGAGAGCGGGACCCTATCCAGAGAAGAAGAGATGCCTGAGATGGAGACAGAGATGATGACGTGTATGACAGTTTACATGAGAGAACTTTAGTTTCACATTCATTCCATCGTATATCATTTCATTGTCATGGTTCCAATCCCCTCCATGCATCATCTACCGACCAAAGCCTATACCCTAGAAACCCGCACCCTACACTCTCCCCTCTCCCCCAAGTCTTCAGCCCCCAGTCCCTCTCCCTCTCTGGATCCAAAGTCCCCAGCCGCTTCATCATCACTACACGTCATCATCTCTGTCTCCATCTCAGGCATCTCTGCTTCTCTGGAGCAGCTAGAGGAACAGGAACAGTAGACACTTCTTGAAAGAAGGACCAGCGGGGGGGGGGGGGGGAGAGGGGGGGAGAAACAGACTAACTATTACAAGAACAAGTAAGCTGTTCACCTAGGAGCCCTCAAGGAAAGCCATCAAGTTCCTTTAGGACAAACCCCATTCCAAGACTGAAACTCAAAGAGAACACATGAGCAGGCCTGTAAGCTCGTTGGTGACCGCATTGGTCTACTTTTGAGTGGAAGTTGGGGAAAGGAGTAATGAAGACATGGGATGAGTTAGACCATGTTCCACAGACTCCTGTCAACCTTAAGATGAGACAGAGAAGAGGAAGGCCTGGCTGGTCCAAAGTCTGGGGAGACTTGGGGACTCCTGAGCCCATGTACACTGACCTAGCCATTGGGAGCTAGAGCTGAGAGTGAAACGTCCAGCTGATATGAAGTGGGGGGAGGTGCACAAGAACCCCAAAACTTGCAGATAGTACCCATTTGACCTAGCTTCAATGGCTTGATAACCAGAACTCGATTAGAAGAAGATAAAGAAATTTGATATGAGAAGCAAGTATGAATTGCTACAATTTGATGAACTTGACCTATACTTATAGATATAGTAGCTCAAAATACCAGCCAAGAGGGACTGAGCCTTCACATCAAAGATCAAGCCTATCCCCTCCATACATAGGATTGATAGGGATGGGCAACTTAGACACTGTCTACTTAAAACGGGGGTGGGGGAGAGACTATAAAGGCATAATAAGGGGCTGGCTTACAAGTTTTCAAGATGGAGTTTAGTTTCAGAGTGAGGGAGCGAAGGTAGAATCCCCACTAAACAGTTTTCATCTTATCTAGATGTGTCTGGTAAAAGGAGATAGGGATAGGATTCTTTTGATTCAATAGTGAGTAATTGTTATCATAACTAATTGTGATTGTCACAGCTGTAAAAGTAGAAGTTGTGTAACAAAAAGGTAGTAATTAATCTTACATTCCAGAACAGAAGACCCTAGGACTATCAAGAGGGAAGAGCATGAGAAGAACATGGGATCCTAACCAGAGAAGCAGCGACACCAGAGATGGAGGCAGAGATTATGGTATGGAGAGACAGAGCAGCTGAGGACTCTAGACTCAGGGAAAGAGAAAGGCTGTGTGCTGGCGGTCAGGAGGATGGCTTGCAAAATGTGCCCTTCAGTTGTTTAAACAATTATATATTCCTGCGTCATTTTGTGTACATTAAAAAAAAAGGGGGAACGAAAGCTAATATTCTTAATCAATGTTGCATGGAGGGGATTGTAATCATTGTAATGAAAAACAATTGATTGAGTACAAAACCGATCTTCTGCCATGCAAACTCAATTCACAATAAAGGTGGGGTTTTTTTGTTAAAGAGATAATGGAATTTTTCCATAAAACTTTTAAAGCTCTCTCATCTGATCCCACTTTAGAAAAATCAATGACATAAGTTTATATCTGTTTATATGTATTTTTGTATATGTTATGTGTACATCTATGTGACTATAAGGCATGGAAGGGCACATGCAAAGTTGTTTATATGCATTACTTGGGAAGGAGTGATATGAGGAGAAAAGAAGTGAAGGATTAGCCAAGTTAAAAGAAACAAGAAGAAGAAGAAGAAAGACAACACTAAAAATTACAGGATGATAAGCATCCTTGTGACATGTGTAGGTATAGAAAGCATAAAATACTATTAAAGCAAAAGTGTCAAATAAAGCAAATGATGGCTTCAATTTCACCCTTCCATAAACATTCTAAAACATAGACATCTAGCATTTAAGAAACATTCCTTTTGCTCTGCAGCTATTTTTATGTAGCAGAAGGACTGTGGTTATGAGCTCTGATTCCGCAGGGAGTAGGTCAGACTGAAGCCCAGCAGTAGCCTCTGTCCTCCAGCACAGCTTCTGACCAGGAAACGCTCCTCCATAAGAAATACACTTTGAGTGAAATACCTCATGGTAATCTCACGGTTAGAAACATGGAATCGGTAGACTATGCTAGACTATGCTGTCTGTGTGTGCACTGACAGGCTCCTTGGAGCACTGGCCCACCAATAACCAGCAACCTCACCTGTCCTTTAAATGAAGTCCCTTACTTAGTCTGGAAGCTCTCCTTCCCTCACAGCCCCCACTCCAGATTTATTTTCTTCCCCTGCCTCCCTTGCCCACTCCTTCTTTTCTGTACCTAAATTCCCAAAGCCTCATCATCCTTTCTTTCCTTGGCTTCAATTTACAAGCTCAAAAAAGAAAAGTCAAGTCAAGAGAGCAGAGTTTAACTAAAGGCCTTACAGTCCTCAAGCTACCGTCTCTGTCTACAGACAGACAGCCCCACGCAACAAAAGACAGCAGCACTCCCTCATGTGCACAGACTTTGGGGTGTCTGGTCCATTTCAGCCACTAAGATAGTAGGTTGAAAGGTACCCGAAGGTCTGCGTGGGGATTCCCATTACCCTTTGTCTCGATGCTGGTATTCCTGACTGTAGTGTTGGGCCAGCTCTCAGATGGCTGTTCTTCAGGTCCACCTAGAAGAATGGAGAAGAAAAGAACATGAGGACACAACAGTCTTCATTGTATCATGACTAAAAGAATGAGGAATCATACCCAAATCAAGGCCCTGGGGCTGATCAGAACCGCTGTAGATGAGTAAAGATTTGCTCAGCAAAGGTTTATTGAGTTCCTACCATGTGCCAAAGGAACTCTGGTAGCATAGTGGATATGAATCGGGTTGCTAATCTCAAGGTCAGCGGTTCCGCTGGATAAAGATGAGGCTTTCTGCTCCTGTAAAGATTTACAGCCTCAGAAACCCTATGCAGGGTCGCTATGGGTAGGAATCAACTCAGTGGCACTTAACAACAACACCATGTGCTGGGCTCTGTTTCAGACCCCAGGGTAAAAAGAACTTGCTTCCTTACAGCTATACAAAAAAATAGCAAATTAATAGAAGTATTCCTTTCCTTGACCTGAATAAAGCCATGTGGAATCAAATTTACAAACTTAACAGTGAGCCTCAAAGTTAGCACTCTCATCTCCACCTCCATAAGGAAGACAGAATGTTAACAGGATACTCTCCCATCTGGAGTCTGTTCAACATGAGAAAGACCACCAAGGACTCCTAACTTTGGAGTGGGCCACTGGGCAGGTAGTGCCATCCTTCACTGGAGATGGGGAAGGCTTCGTATGGGAGCAGATCTGAAGACAAAGCTTACGTTCCGTAGAGACCATTTATACAGATAAAGCCAAATCAAAGTAACTACAGGCCAATCTAGTATTATTCACAAATACAAAGTTATTTCTTAGATTTGTATACAACCTTGCTGTTGATGTTGTTGTTAAGTGCTATAGTCGAGTTGATTCCGACCCACAGAGACCCTGTATAGGGTTTCCAAGGAGCCGCTGGTTAGCTTGAACCGCCAATCTTGCAGTTGAAATGGCTTTGCAGTTTGGCGCATTAACCCACAGCGCCACACCAGGACTCCTTGCTGTTGATAGGTGTGTCAAATTGATTTTGACTCAGAAAGATCCCATTTGACAAAACAGAACTGCCCCATAGGATTTTCTAGGTCCTGGTGTGGCACTGTGGGATAAAGCACTGGACTGCAAGATCAGTTTGAACCACAAGATCAGGGGTTCAAACACATCAGCTGCTCCTTGGAAACCCTATACAGGGTCACTATGATCTGAACCGACTCGATGGCATTTAACAACAATCTTCTTTAGGGAAGCAGATCAATAGGTCTTTGTCCTTTGGAGCTGCTACGGAAATTTGAACTGCCAACCTTTTGGTTAGCAGTTAAGTGGTTAACCATTGCATTACCAGGGCTCTTTGTATGGAAACTTACAATTTACAAAGCAGTTTTCCCATATCCCCTTTGATTCTGATTAAAACGTTCTTTGGCATACAGAGTAAAAGTCCATTTTACAGAGAAGAAAAGTGAGACACAGGGGGTCTCCCCACTGATAACAGGAGAGCTAAGGGCTCTGGACATGGGTCTCCTGGTCAGAAACCCACTGACTGGCCACTGCTGTTCAACAAAGGTTCACACACAATGTTTCTCTCCCAAACATGAAACCCAGGCCTTTAGATATCAAGGGTCATGTGGTCCTACATCCCAACAACCAGCAGACCACCTCTCCCCCCTCCATGACTGCTACTTGGGTAGTGACTGCAGTTGCTGCATCTCCTGTTGAGAAAGGTCCTGCTAGAGCAGGGCAGATTTGGGAGGCTCCGCGCCTAGAGCCGCGTGGGGCGTGCTGATATCCTTGCGTGCCTGCATCCTGCTCATTAGGCTGCCTTTCTAGCCAACTTGGAATCTACTTACACACTCCCTGCAGCTGCCGGAGAGTCCGCTGCCAGCGCCCCGCCCTCTGGGGATTCTTCCACTTGCGATATCATTTCCTCTTAGGCTAAAGGTCAGGGGGAATCCTGAATCCTGATGGTATGAAAATTGTTGGCCAGAAGAGGTATATGCCATGTGTGTACTGAAGGAGCACCTAGAGCCCAAAGCCTAACTGAGCCTTTACTGCGGGGGGCGGGGGGTGGGGGGTAGCTTTGGATAACACTGCGAGTATTAACATATTTCATCTGCCAAATGGGCTGTTTCGAGGATCAAATGAGGTAGTAAGTTTGTTTAGGCATTCACTCATTCAACAAATATTTATCAAACACCTGCTACATGACAGACACCATTCCTGCTGCTAGGATACAGCATTGAACAAACTCTACCCTGACCTCATGGAAATTATATTATGATGGAGGGTGGGGAAGAACATGAATAACAAATAGGCACGTAAATATATAAGTCAGTTGTTGAGAGTGAAGGTGACAGTGAATACCAGGGATGCATGAGTTGCTGTTTCATGTAAGGTACAAAAGCAAGGCGGACCAGCTGGAGAAAATGAGTCAAAGAGTCTGGGATTATCTGGGGATATGCTCTTGCATTCCAAACTAGCAGAACAGAAGGCACAAAGGCCCTGGGTTGGGAGGTGTGGAATGGAATGGAATGAGCAAAGGTGAAAGGGAGTTGTAGATCCCGATGTCAGCGGAACAGCGCAGGGCCTGAAGGGTTAGATCAAGTGGAGCCTTGCAGGTCATTTTCAGGACTTTAGCTCTAATCCTGAATGATCCAGATGGAGTCGTTTTGAGTCAGTGGACCTGAAAGGGCTTTATAGTTGTGTAGGCTTTATATGTGGCAGGGTTATTAGAAGTGGGAAGGAGGAGCAGGTCAAAAAAGTTGAGATTTGGGATGAGATTTCATATACAGCTGGAAGATAAGCACGTTTTGACCTGCTTGGTTCCTGCAAAATGGGTGTGGGGACCAGAAGTACAGCCCAGTTAGGGCACCTGGGCACAGCCCTGGTTCAAGGTGCACTGGAGGCTGTGTGCAAGGGGGCCTTCTAAGGACAGAAGAAAGACTACAGTTCATAGTAAGAAGACAAGAGTCTTGGATTTCTTTGGCGATCTGGCATTTGAAATTAAAATAGGAGCAAAAGTTTGGGTGAATGGAGGAAGGAAGGGGAGACAGAGCACCCTGCCCCCTGTAAACAGAGGAGGAAAGAATCAGTGTTTACTAAGCACCATTATGGTGTTGGCCATGTACTAAGAACAGTGCTAAGGGCTACCTGTGCTTTACTTGAGTTAGGATTCCTAGTTCAAGTCTCATAACGACGCAGTGACAAAGGCACTAGTATCATCTCATTTAGATGAAGAAACCACAGCTCCCAGAAGTGAAGTCACTTTCCTGTCTTGAGGATATGGAGATAATCAGGAAACAGTGAAAGCTAGAGGCAGATCTTGTCTGATCCCAGAAATGAGAACAAGGAGAGAAATGGGGTACCTAGTAAAGGCTGATGATTCCTAAGGAACATGAAGCATTTGCCAGGAGGCCTGTGAGAGGATATGGGAAGTCAGGGATAGAGGCTGGGGCCATGGGCCATTAAGAACGCAAGTCACTTCAGTGGTTCCAAATCAGGCTGCTAACCTCAAGTCCAGCAGTTCAAAAGGACCAGCTGTTCCGTGGGAGAAAGATGAGGCTTTCTGCTCCTGTAAATATTTACAGCCTCTATTCAAGATTGCTATGAGTTGGAACAGACGCCACAGCACACCACCATCACCAGAGGAAGTACCCAGTCCTTAGAAGAACCATAGGAGCTCTGGTGTGGTGTTGTGGGTTAATGTGCTAGACGCAAGGTCGGTTTGAACCACAAGATTGGCGGTTCAAGCTCACCAGACGCTCCTCAAAAGCTCTATACAGGGTCATTCTGGGTCGAAACTGACTCAACAACACTTAGCAAGAACAACAAAGCTCAGCAGTCAGAAATGGATAAGAAAGAAGGACACATGGAAACGGTAAACACAGGAAGTGGGAAGAGTGCTGATACATTGAGGAGATTGCAATCCATATTATGAAATAAAATGTGCACAAATTGTTGAATGGAAAACCAATTTGCTCAGTAAACTTTCATTCAAATCGCAATAAAAAGTTTAAAAAAACAAACACACGAATCCCTTCTCTGCCATCCGTCTTACCAACAAAGCTGTTCTTAAAAGGGTGGCAGACCTCATGTTTCCAGTGTGGTGGGGCCTGGATCCACCTGGAATTATTTACAGTGGTCTGTAACTGACAAGAAAGTCTTTCATGACTTCCTCTGCCTCAGGATGAATTCCAGCTCCTAGTCCTAATGTGACACTCACTGTAGGATAAGCAATGGGCTGCTGCTAACCACAAGATCAGCAGTTCAAACTCATCAGCTGTCCCTTGTAAATCCTACACAGGGTCGCCATGAGTCAGAAGTAACTTCTCAGTACTTAATAACAACAACAGAATGACTGAAAGGTTGGTGTTCAAACCCACCCAGTGGCTCTTTTAAAAGACCTGACAATCAGCTTCCGTAAAGATGACATACTAGAAAACTCTATGGGGCCATACGGTGTAGCTGTGAGAAGAACCTGACTCAAGGGCACCTACCAAAAACAATGTGACTGATGAAGCCCCTCGTGGTGATGCCCCTCACAATGAGGCCCTCATGAAACACCTCATTTTCTCCCTCTGTGTACTCCAGTCACCCTAAGGTATGTAGAGCAACTTGAACTTCTATTTTCTATTGCATCTTTCTCCACTACATCCACCTGTTCACCTGGTCCTTCAAGTCTCAGCTTGGATACTATCTCCTCTGGGAAGCTGCCCTATAACCAATTAGAGTTAGAAGCCCCTCTTCTAAACTCCCACCTCCTAACCTTCACCACAAGGTACTGGGATCTCCTGTTTACTCAGTGAAATCCAGTGTAGTGTACTTTTGAACTTTTAGGGTCTTGAAAGAAGGAAGCTTGTCTTGTTAAGCACTGTCTTGTCCAACAATGAATATCCAGCACTGTGCTCAAGACATCTCAGGTCCTCAATACGATACGTGTTGGATTGATGGGTATAGTTAAGTCAGGCAGACGGTGTTTAGAAAGAGACTGCAATCATTTCTAGCTAAGCCTTGTGTTGTTGTTATGTGCCGTGGAGTTGGTTCTGATTCATAG